CTGAGGTGCTCCCGAGCTACTGTCGTCTTCCCGACAAGTACCAGCTCTGATCGAGACTTCTCTGAAGGTGGATTCAACTTTGGTCAATTTCTACAAGCTGAGACCTGCCCGCGAACATCAAGAATGTGAAGTCGTTGCTTGGGAATAAGGGCGATGTTGCTCTAGCTTTCTACCTCTTCCATATCTTCGCGGATATGGCCGGCATTATGGGAGCTAAGAGCCTTGATGGAAGTATGTTCATGACAGAAACCATGTTCAACAACTTCAAGAAGGGTCTTACTACTCTGCAGCTGCTAACGCACGAGACGATGAATGACACCTACGACTCCTTCTTGAAACTGCGTGCCAAAGAGCAGGGTCTTGCATTCCAGACTCCGACTGACAGGGCGATCATCAGGTTAGCCTGCTGTTCGCGAGTTTTCGACGAAGAGGGTGGTCGAGCGGTATTGGACGCGTGGAATCAGCTGGAGCCGAACGAGCAGACGAAGCTCACTGACTATCTCAACCGCGACGGAATTCACAAGTCGCCTGGTTTCCTTATCTACTATATGCCGGCTTTCATGGAGAACGCTCGGAAGAATCCTGATGTCGGTTTGGTTCTGGCGATGCGCCTTCTCTTGAGGATCTATGATGCTGCTGCTGTGGAGTATGGGGTGTCTTCTGAACCTTACGGAGATGCCTTGCACTATCCTGGTTCGCAATCAGAAAGGTCGGCCTCGGAGGATTCGGATGTTATCACCATTCACATCGCGGAGGTCGCTGAACTTGCTCGCCAATGTGACTCGGCTGTTGTCTTCAAGTCTACCTTTTTCCGCATCCACCGAGCTGAGGGAGACCGGGGTAAGTGCGAGGGGCAAGTCAGACTGGCACCATGGCGGCTCTGGACGTCGGAGGAGAAACTTGCGGCACTGAGTGCTTTTGGCCGGAAAAATGCTGAGTTCTTGCTGGGGGGTAGCTGCGAGCAGACAAAGCTCCTCGATGATTTCAAGAGGATCTACCCGGAGCTGCAGTACTTTCGAGACACTATCGGGAATACTGATTGTTCTCCTGATGCGATTCACCCTTCTGCTACGCTTTCGGACAGTGAATCTGAGTATAGGCGGACTGTTTGCGCGATGCTCTGTGTCTACTGGATCTGCACTGACAACTACGGTGACTTCACGAAGAACCAGACTCCAGCTGAGCGACTTAGTCGTGAGAGTTGGCGCAGGCTGCAGTGGTGGGTCAGGAACGTTGTGAAACTGACGGGCGATCCCATTGCGGTGGATGCGATGCTATGCTTCATGGCAATTCACGACTTGGGCAAGATCCGTGATATCCGAAGGGACTTGTCTCCGGGTATTCGAGATCACGACAAAGCTCTC